TGTCTTGGAGAAGGTGCATCCTTGAAGACAAGGATGATGAAGCTTCATCTCATATACTGTAGGCCTGTTGCTAAGAGAGACTATTTCTTGGAGAAGGACATCATGCTTCTTGGAAAGGTGGAGGAACAGTAAAGGAGAGGAGGACTCTCAGCCAGGTGGATTAAGAGAGTGACTGCAGCAATTGGTCAAGTGTGTCAGAGACTGTGAAAATAATAACAGGATAGTGCTCAAATCTGTTATTCACAGGGTCACTATGATTCATACTTGACGCAATGGCACCTAACAACAACTACTCTTTTATTTGTTATAATAGCAAACTAATAAAAACAAATCTGAATATTTATATAAGGTTATAGAAGTAAATTTTTTAAAAATTGAAAATTGAATTCTCCATAGCACTCAGATTTTACCTTCTGATAAAAAGAAAGAAAAGCTCATAGTCATTACTATTAATTAATTAATTACAGTTTCCACTCCTAAGACCTTTTTTTCCCGTAAATGCGACATAATTTTTAGGTAATACTTCCTGTGAAACTAGAGAAAGACTGTACAAAGAACAAGGGCCACGTGAGGACGGCTGTATCTGACCTTTACCAACTTCACAAAGGGGAATTATCCCTGTCAATAGCATCAACAACACAAAACCAATTCCAATAAGATAAGACATCTCAAATCTCGTTCTACTCATCTCAACACCAATCTTACTGCATTACTGAGTCCAAAATCTGATGCAATAGCTCACCGGCCACAAAAAACCATACTGGAGAAGTCAAAAGGTTATAGTCCAGGTTAGTAGCAGAATAGGACAGCTTCCAAAATGTGCTTGCAGGGGCTTCAGCCTTGAACCTCACGGCATTAGGCCAGTCTTACACAGTTCTTATCCTACCAGTATTAGCTCCCCACCTACCCCTCAAGCTGTCCAACAAACTTGGGCAAAGGCTCTTAGCTTAGCCGTGATTCTGTCCATAGAAGGGAGTAGTCCCAAGGTTCACTCCTTCTCATGTCAGGTCTCTGGTTCTCCGCTGTGGCTACTATGGCTATTGCCCTGGTCCTGAATGATGAGTTGTATTCTATTGCTTACTCTTCTTTGTTGCTGGTGAGGTTTCATTTTTCTGCTGCTGGATCTACTCAATTTAATGATGAGACTAGCCAATCAACTTGTGGACTGGTGAAACTAACCAACCCCCTTATTCACTGGTGAGACCAGAAATCACCTGTGGCTAGTAAAATCATACAGAAAGATAAACTCCACAAGGACCAATAACCACATTCTTCTTGTTGTTGTTATGTGCCGTCAAGTCGCTTGTGACTCATAGCGACCTAAACTCTGCTTTGTCCTGTGCCAACTGCACTACCTCCGACACACCCATCCCGATTACCCCAGTCACTCAATCAATCCACCTCACAGAGGGCCTTCCCCTCCTGTGCTGTCCCTCCACCCTACCAAGCATGATGTCCCTCTCCAATGACCGGTCCCTCCTTACAACATGTCCAAAGTATGTTAGACGGAGCCTCAGAATCCTTGCCTCCAGGGAGCTGCCCAGTTTAACCCTCTCCAGGATAAATCTGTTTGTTTTCCCAGTTGTACATGCAATGACTAATTATCCATTCCTTTCAGGTGGTTGTTTCACGTATTTTGAGAAAAGCTGTCTAGTAAAAAGTTTATTACTGATTGCTTATACCATTTAAGTTCTAACCTTAAACAATAATTTACAGTTTCAACTGAATTGAGCTTCTATTTAGTACTTTATTCTTTATGTCAAAGTCAGCATAAAGACTATGAACAGTACAGAGATGTACTGTTTATTTCCTCTTGCTCTACAATGTCCCTTACATGACATCATCTCCAAAAGATCCATGCCTAGCCTAGTTCTAGACACAATTTTACATTTCCTAAAGGTTCCTATAAAATCTTGAGAGTGAGACATAAAGGAAAAAGCCCATAGATAAAGATATCGCGGTGCAGTGGTAATGTATTAATGGCAATACAACAGTGTTACTCACATGCACTTCACAACATGAAGTTAAATTATTAAAATTTAATTCTTTTTAATGATTAAATTTCTCAGCAAAGGAAACAACAATATGTTCTCTTCAGACATATAAAGTCCAACTGATATCACTGCCATCATTAATAGTGCCAATGGCTGTCCTCAAAGTTAAGGGGGCCTAACAAAGCAACAGATGACAAAATTATAGCCATGTTACTTAACATATTTCCCTTTCTGCTTTCAAGAAATTCTAAATTATATTTTGTAGTCAAAAACTACCCTTACTCCGAGTACTATGGTACACTTGCCTTCTCTCTTCATTTCCAGTGCCTTTACTGGAATTTCCTCAAATCTATTTTAGATATGGTATAATTAAATACACTGGAATTTGGTATACTGTATCCACACTGAAAATGAGAAATACACTACTTTTCAATCAAGAAAGAGAATTAAATGAACCAACAGTTGAAAATATCAAAATGAAATTACAAACAAAAATAAGAATATAATTGGAAAATTAGGACTCTGGCTTCTCTTCATTCAACAAATGTAACTAGATTATTTTACCTTAATTTCAATCCTTGCTCTGTGAGGAAAAAGTTGTCCAATCATAGAAAAGTCAGTTCCCACCATGCTAATGGCTAAAAAGAACATATCTGTTTCTGTAAAAATAAAAGTTTTAGATGAGAAAACATTAATCTTCTAACAGTTTTAGAGAATGAACATGGTTAAAAAAATAAATAAATACATATACATTTATATAAATAAATAAATATATGAGTTAAAAAGAAATTTTATAATAATACTGGACAATTTTTCATTAAAGTGCAGCAATTCTTTGGTCACAAATACATTTAATTATACAAACTTCATGAAATATCTTAAAATATTTAAACTTTTAAAGAAAGCATCATATGTATTTTGTGTGTTTATACTAAAGCCAATTAAAAAAATACACCTCTGCCCACATGATCTCACTGAAAGTGCCCTTAAGAAAACTGTCCACTCATTCAGGCTATAAAATCAACTAGAATATGGTTAGTATGTAAAAAAAAAAAGCTATAAAATATGCAAGCATAAGGTATAAGGATGATTGTATGAAACACAATGCGAATAAATAGTGTGAAACAGTGTATATACACTTTGTAAGCAAACCAATTAAAAAATAATGTAAAATAGAATGTTGTTGTGAAGGGCCACCAAGTCATAGACTACTCATAGCAACCCTATGAACAAAAGACCTGAACAGTTATATAACTTTCATCGTTTCTCCAAGGCCTAGTGGATACAAAGTGATGCTACCAAGCCAAAGGTGGGTGATTTTAATCTGTGGCCCTCAGGCATGGTTTTAATTGTTTTTCGTCATTCTTCTATTCTAAGTGGTATAGTA